AAGGCTGCGTGGATAGATTAGTCGACGAGTCGGTAGCAAAACTCTCGTAATTAGAGATCAGGTTCGACAAAATGAGAGATCTTGTGAGAGCCGACCGGTACAGCAAGAAATCCTTTTTTCAGAACGAGTTCCTGTTGGAACGGACAAAGAATGGGTGGCCACGGTCCGTCGCAGGTTCTACAGGGTTGCAACCGCCTCAATGTTAGGATTACTATCGCAAACGGCGTCGACTCGCGGAGGCGCCCTGCGAGAACGACATCGACTTCATTGCTCTCAAACATAATTGAGACTGAGAGCAACCCTCACCCCAGTAGTTTCTCTTTGTATCTGTTGTTAACTCCGTCAGTTGACTGCAACACTAACTACGGCCGGCGTATCATGGACGTATCACGCCAGCTGCTAACACCTCGCCTGAACAAAGCTAGGCGAGCCCTAATGTCTATGGCAGTTGTATTTGTATCGTACTATTAACTGGTGAAAGTAATGGCGGAATAGCCGCTTCAGCAGCACAAGAAGCCGTCCACATGTGTAGCAAGAGAGAAAGTGCCATAAGGACAAAGTACCGGTCCGGGTACGCTTTCTCATTTCCGGGGCGTCGCCGGCAGCGGCTTCATCGCGGAACGCGCGCGCAACTTAGCTGGCGCCTTCACAGGAGCCCGAACAGGCATATGTGCTACTGCTAATAGACCTTGCCCACGCACAACAGCGGACTGCGCACGGGTGCAAAAAGAATCACCAAGGCAGAACGCAAATAGACGACCAAAGAGGCGAGCTGCAGGACATAGCGCACACAATACAAGGTGAGCAATATGTCCTTTGCTTCTCGTTCGTTATTCTCAGGAAAAAGTTTATCGTATCGAACTAGTCGACGCGATTCCTATATCACTTAACCTGCGGCCGCGAGACGACGTGAAGCTTATGGACGTATGGTAAATAACACTACTAGCAACGGACATTGATTTTACTTGTTTTTAAAGCGCACTTAGTTACTGAGAAATGTGTTATTTCGTTTAAAATGGCTACCGGAAAAGGTAGTTTTTATTTAAGCATTGTTAAACAAAGTCCTCTAACCTGGAAATACATTTTACATCATTTTCATTAACCCTGTCAGAATTACAGAAAGCTAGGCGATCGTTTCTACTTTTCTCATTCGCTGTGGACCACTGTAGACTGTCATAAAATCTTCGACGAGTTTCACTGTAGGATTTGCCGAAGGACGTGCCTAACAAAAAGAGGAATAACCAATCGAGCTACTGTTCTTCCTTTGTCTTCCAATTTATTCAAACCCCTCGTTCCTGCATAGTAGTATTGTTATACGATCTGAAGTGGCTCTCAAAAAAAGAATCTCGATCATTTCCTTTGCTTGGTTTTGAACCACGTAGTTCGCGGGCACTTCAAATAATTTAGGATGTTATTGTTCTCAACGGCACAGTGTTCGTACCTAGTTAGGCCCTCTTTTTGGCCTACCACGGATTGGTCTTCGATGCGATGATTTTTCAAAATACGTTTTCTTGCGTTTTGGATACACTCTAAACAGATTGTCGTTGTCAAGTTTATTAGTAGTGAACAAACGTGTCTAAATAAAGGCTTAGTTCAGCCTTATCCTACAGGACCATATTCGGCTAAACAAAAAACCGTAAAGTTTCAAGAAAAACGCTGAAATTACAATTTATGGCCAAATTTACGGCACATTTGTTAACGAAACCAGTGCTGGATCTACCGTGTTATATAATCTGAAAGTGCCTTTGAACTTCAAGTTGTGAGAATTTCACACTTGTCTAAAATCGATGTTTTTCGAGTGATTTAGCATGTTTCGCTATGTCCATACGATGCTTAACTATCATTGTATTAGAATTAGACCTATCCTACTACTCTACATAAGGTTCGCTATTTTGGCAAATTATCCAAAAAAGTAACTATACCTTAAAAATATAATAATTTCTGAAAAATGTTAATCTCCAGAACGTTTAATATTGAGAGATATATTCAAATTCTAATCTTTTCGGGGACCTCCCGTGAGATCTACATAAATCCTTGTAGTATGTTTTCTTAGAATAATTGTAAAAAAATCTACGATATATCCTACGAAGTGTCCTTAGATCCAACCATAGGTAAAAGTTCTACGATGAATACATCAGAAAATAATGAGGGTCAAATATTGGTAAGTGTAGCAAGGAATTCAAATGGCCCAGAGAGCTATAGCCTGGCAGAAATAGCGCAACGATATGCTTTACTTGTGGTCAAATGTACACTACTGTGCAAAAAATGGATTTTTATGATGTCTTCAAAAACGAAAATTTACTCTTGTTGTGAAAATTTCAATTTCTGAAAAGTATATTCCAGACGTGTGTACTTTTTTCCTTGCTAATTACGTGCGTCCACGCTGAATTACCTCATTAATTAATGCATAACGTAAGCTACTTTTCAAGTTACATTATTACAGTTTACTAGTATACAGTAGGATAGTTCTTGAATCTAAGTCAACCTTTAGATTCTAGAAGAATGTTCTCTAAATTTAATAATAAGGTATCCGTATCAATTTCTCCTTTCTATAATTTTCTAAGAAACGGCTTGTTTTGCTCGAATCGAAAAGTATCCTTCTTGATTTTTATTAAAGGAATTCTAAAGGGTCGTAAAATATCGATCTCTCATTAGTACTAAACTGTATTCTTTTTCACTCCTCGTCAATGAACGTAGGAGCTAAAGCTAGACGTAAACTATTTCTATTTTCAAATAGTGAGTTTAGATATCGGGGTTTCATCAAAACGAAGTGTTTCTATTACACTGTCTGTGCTTGCGTATGTTATAACAGACATGTATCCGATGTAACATTAAGTATCGTGAATTTGTCGTTCTACCTATGCGTTCGTTCGTATGGACAACGTTATAATGTGATTAGATTTGGAAAAAGGAAAAGCAAAAAGATTTATTAATTATTCATGTAAGCTATACATGCAGCTACGTAAATTTTGATTTCGCTAAACAAACAGTAAATAAAAACAGAGATTTGAACCACCACGCAATCATTCAGGTTATGTAGAATCAGGAAGAGAAAAATACACTCGCGAAACTCAGGTTGCGAAAATGCGGAATAAAGAAAAAAACTGTCTAATAAATATTACGAGAAGCGCAGTCAGGTTATCCGTAGTATCTTTTTCACAGAAACACGTGGTCAGTTAATACATTTCATTATCTCTTCGTTTAGTACTTCATTATTTTTATAAGTTACTAATAACTTATAAAAATAAACTAAGTTATTTATTACATTCTGCGGGCACATTTTCTGCTTCGTAGGTGCGTAACTGTTTTTTACGTAGTCGCCATTGCTCGAGTTTTCGTATACCGCATGGATACAATATAGAAATTCATAAGCGCCGATATGCTTTATTTAACTAAAGAATTCTATTTTGACTCACCGTTCGAAACGCTTGCTTATTATAGAAAGCTCTGGCATTCTCTCAGTAGGTGGTAGAGGCAGGTCTTCTTCGTCAGCTGACGATTCAGTTTCTACTCAAATTAGTACCTTGACTGGATTGTTCTACTTTTGGGAAAGCAGAAGTCTCTAACACGCGCCAGGTTCCGCCCGAAGAGACTTTCTATGCCTTTTTAACTTAGCTCTACTTGCCTAGCGAATATATATATATATATATATCGGTTAGTGCTCCGCTAAAACTGTAATAATTCCAAAACGATCATCTATTTTTGCTGACTAAGTCTCATTATCGATTTATTCTAAATCATTTTTAGTGGGGGAAAAAAAACCATCTGGCGCTTAGCAAAAAACTTGTTAGCTTCTCAATGTGTTGTTAGGTTATCAAGCCGATACATGAAGTTGATCACACTTGTCGTACGACTAGTTTGCTACTACTTTTTTTTTCCCAGCTACAGTTGCATAAGTGACGCAACTCCGGTTAACGAAAGGCGTGCCTCCATGAAACAAAGCCATTGGTGTTACCCTTCGCATTCACTTTGTTGTTGTTGACACGTGCAGTACTAAGCACAAACTGACACGTATATCTTTAGCAGACGACAATGACTAGGTATAGTTCGAACAAATAATGCATTGTAGGGTCCAAGCAAAACGAGTTTCGCTGCCATACGACTAATATATTAGAAGATCTAATAGAACTTATCCCAAACCAGACCAAAACGGTGCTATCCCTTTTGACTCGCTGTTCTATAAACATAATATGGCAACATTGTTTCGAATGCTACTCCCGTTCGGCACTCCATCAGACAACGAACTGTCAGCACAAAACGAAACATATGCGTCTAGATTCGAGTCCAGATCACCATGTATCCCTCGAGTTTAGCCCGTTACCCACTACGTTCTGATGTAGCCGTCAACTCACTGACGCATCCATTATTTTTTAAAATTTTTACCTCTGTCAACTTAGCTAACGCTCTACGTGAATATCGGAGTAAATTGTGGATGAATTTCTCGCAATTTCTGGTTTTGCATAAACGAAATATTAACGTGATGTCGTCCTAAAAGACACAACCTCATTATAACTTACGCAACTCCGTTTTCCAGACGTTTCCGTAGGGCACCTTAAAGTATTATAAATAACCCATATATATATATATATATATATATAGGTGGCCCGGTTGTAACGCAGAGAACTCATTTATATTCAATGAAACCGCCTTAGCTTTAGCGTTGGCTGGCAGCTGACGGATTTCTTAATTAATTAATATTATATGCCCATATTACAGTTTTTATCCGACGGAATGTCCTTATCCAGCTGTCACTATTTTGTGGCGCCCAGTAACTTTACGTTGACCTAGACCTTTAAATAGTTTTTTCGTGCGCTTATCCAGAGGCACGATCTATCACAGCTCATCCAAGCCGACAGATTTGCGAGCGACGAGGGATGCACTGGTCGATGCTGCGGCAATAGGCTCCACCATTGAGACATACTAATAGTTCGAAATACCCCTTACGGTAGTGTCTACAGCGAGATTATAGATTTACCCTGCTCACAGAGATTGATGCTTACCTTTGCGAGATTGACGTGCGAGATTTACAAATCGCTGATCATCAAAGTAGAAGCGGCTCTCTTCAGCAATACGGCACGCGCCGTATGAACTCACGTGCTTTAGCCCGTACCTCCCCGCCAGAAAAACATCACGCCATCAATCGGATTATGTTTTTATTAACGTTTTTGTGGTAGGCTACAAACATCAATGCTTCACCTGATTTTTGCAGGACTGGTCGTGATCCCCTCAAACTTATACAATGTACCGTCGATGAAGGTGCAAGCATTGATTTTATATATTTTGGAACACTTGTATTACCGCACCTTACCTATAATTGGCTAAGACTACCCTCAATGATCAATGTACTGAGACAGGCTTTCTTCAACGGCAGGCGTATATCGGTGCCCCCGAAAGACGGCCTTCCAGACTTAGTGTTAATACAGCTGTAGCCTGCCACTTCGGTGTCTTGCCTTGTCTGCCCTCAACTCCTACCCACGAATTCAGGCCACTGACATGCCCTCTTCCAGAACAACGACAGCAACTGGTATTTCTTCTAACTCTGTAAGCTTCCGGAAACGGTTGCTAAGCTTGTCCGCCATGTAAGCTTAGACCTCTAGAACTAATTCAGGGTACGAGGACGATGCTTTTAAAAAAAAAAGCCGACCGATGCTGTTTTTCCGACATTTGCCAGGAACACGCTGATTTTCGGATTGACCTACAGCTTATTCATCAGTGCCCGTTTAACGCGCGTAGACCGTTCAAACATCTCCCTGTCCTTACTGCAGCGGCAACAACATCTTTGACGGGTTGGCCTCTACCGAGGGCAACTGTTCGTACAGCTCTTAAAGCTACCCCACGCCTCCCCTACAACGATCTTGAAGTTAAACCATGTGCGACTGTCGCGCCTGCCTCATAACCTAATCTCCATTCCTCCGTAAGCAGTTCGTACCTTTTAATGCTTCGTTTGGGTTTATTTTCGTCGAATATAACGCGAAGAAGTTGCCAATCACGCAGCCGTTCAGGTAACTTTTCCGAGCATTTGGATATATCGCCAACTATTCCACCGCTGCCAGCAAAGTGAAATGAACCGTCTCAGCGTCGTTGGCCGGCAGAAACGAGCACTCTACAGCCGTTCCTTACAAAGACCTTACAAAGCCGTGAACGTTTAGAGATTAGTAGTATTTGCTTGGATCGAGATTAATAATGCTATTTCATTCGTCGTTAAATTGAAACCAAAGGTTATTTTATTACTATTAAACTATCAAATAAGAGACATAAACAGAGTTTACGAAAAAATTCAAGGTTGCTAATAGTAGTACCTAAACCCTAAATCTACAACCGTCACACCTGCCTCTAATCAACAAAGGAAAACGCTATAGGACTATCATTTAGCGGCTGTTCATTCTGAGAGTATTTCGTTGATTTCTTCACTCTATTACACATGGGCATTCGAGTATGATTATCCAACTTCTAGCTGTATATAGAACCTACAACAGATTACGTTCGACGTATACAGGAATTAAACGTACGTTCAGCAGCAGAATGCACGATCTGTGCTTAATGTAATGTTATATATGATAATATATACGCTCATATAAACGTAAAACGGTGTACGAAAAAAGTTATCCTATAATAAATAAATAAATAATTATTACCTTTCGGTTATCGTCTATAAATACTGCGATGATATCGTAGTCAACAGCCTTCTTTTTCGTGGTCACCTGTGTGGTATCATGCGATAGCAAACCTCTACTGATCGAAGGAACAGAATTTGGTGAGTACACGCTGAGTTTACTTCCGGTTTTACAATAATCAATCATTTCAACATGTACCAGCAAGTGTAATTTGGACGCCCTTGAGTAGAATAGTTCTTCGCTGATCGTTCGAGACGTTCTAAGTTCTCGTAAATTCTGGCGCTAACCATATGTTGCTCCCTCAGGAATATAGCTCAACTTTTGTTCTCTGTTTATAATTCATTGCAAGTGTTACCGCAGCTGCGAATAAAGGAGCCAGACTCGACAAATCTATTGAAGAATCGCTGCTGGCCTAATACGACTCCTTATCAAAGGGTCGATTGGGTTCGTTTTTTATTTGCTCCTTTTCGTACCATGCGTAGACTCCGTAGGGCCGTATGTGATAAAGCATGAAGTCTATCACGTGCATCATCGTCGACTCAGTGTAATGGAACGAGATGACCGAGTCGCTTATACTTTTTTCGCCCTGGCAAAACCGAAATACAAGAACAAAACTATGCGAGTAGAATGTATGTACTGCTTTTACATAGTGAGCCAAAACGGTATAGCACATAGTCGTCACATGCAAACCCAAAGAGTTTGAAGTAAACAGGAAGCCTGATTTTATATCTACGTCTATGTAGTTTCATTCCTAGAGTCACGGTTGCTACAGCCTTCAAAATGTAACAAAGCACATAATAAAGACATAACAAACAAAATATGGCAGCTGCCAGGCTAAAAACTTCTTACACCGTTCTGTTTATACGCTGTATAGCTCCAGAACCAGCTGGGTAGCCCGTCCGTAAGGTGCGCCGGAGCACTCAGCGGTAGGAACCTCTCACCGCCGAACTGATCTCGAGAATTGCCAGCTTCCACTCCGAGCTTCGCGAGGCATTCACCCATATTGACGTCTTCGGCTCCGCCTGGATCCTTTCTACAGGCATCTTTGTGCCCCTCCGCAAATCTGTCAAAGGAAAGGGCAACAGACGGAGGCGACTAAACAAGATTTATAAGTATGTGAATACAACTACCCAAAAGTTGTACAGTTCTACCTGAAATATTTGGTAAAAAGCGACGTTAGAAAACTCTTTTTAAAACATATTTGTTACTTTTAACAATGACCTGTTTGCTTGATAAGCCAAACGGATCGTTAAAATATTTCGACCTTCCTATGGAATTGAAGACCACTAGAATTTTTTATCCATGTTCAGCGCTGGTCGATGAAAGAGTTGACTTTACCCAAAAATGCCTTGTATTTTTGTGCCTCTTGGGACATAAAGTCGATATGATACATCCAATGGAACATGGACTCCATTACATACATTAATATATATTTTTTTACTATCATATCCTTTTATAAGCCATCTTACTCCTGTTATTGTTTGAAGTGTGGCATGATAAGCGATGGGGTTTCTCTAGATGCGCCACGAATAATTGCGACCTATTGCATCCGCTTGCTTGTCTGTTCAGTACATCATTTTGACTGGCTTTTTTTTCGCCGCTTCGTCCAGGAACGAATCAAGCGTACCGTCTGTTACAACGTAGAGTACATATATTTGTTAACCGCTCGCCCGCAGCTATAGCAGATGCTTGAGAGACAAGGATAGAGAACAAATAACAAAACCTGCGGATAAATGTACAATCCGCACTATATGCACAAATACACATGAACACAAGGGCACCTTCAGATATTTCAACAGTCGGATAGGGCAGACAGCAACAGCAACAGCAACAGGTCCACAAACAATTGTGGCACTCGATAGTAATCGATTTCACTAAAAACGGAAGAGCTGACGGCGGCCACCTACTCAGTCGGCAAACACCGGCCACAGGCCAAATGGCCAGCCACGAACGTGTCTCGTCCACTTTTTTCCGCTTCATAGACATCTGCATCTGCTTGGGCTCAGCCATAGCCATGAGTGAAGAGCGCGACAGGCTGAATAAGGCCAATCTTGATAAAAAAAAAATCTGCTATCTCAACAAATCAAAGAACAGAACTGAGTTAAAGTATCGCCTTCGCCATCGATCACAACGACGGAGCCTGTACCTGATTGATGATTTTCGTCAGTCACATTTGGATGTTCTGGGACCAACGACAATTTACTCATAATCGGAATTTGGCCTGAGGAGCCGTTACGGAAATCTCATTGAAATTTGCTGCAACAAAAAAGATCACTATTACAGGGTATTTGACTATAAACAAACAGCAAATGAATAGATCTATATATAGCAAATGTAAGCCTTTATTTTGAACATGGGTGATCTGGTTGACAGGCTAAAATGCAGAATATAATTAGCAAAAGTAAAGCAATTAGAACACCATCGCACCTATCAAGAGCTTCCTTCGACAGGACATAGCCGGCGCCGCCGCTCATGTACCCTTCCTTGACATGCCTTTTAAACTTATGCCCAAAATAAACTGGGTTCGTTGTATTTTGTCTCGATAAGAAGTACCTTAAGTTCTCAACAATCACGTATGTGTCGTCGTCAGCCTTGAGAAACCAATCAGCCATATCCCGGTAATGCTTGTGTACCTGTTCGGTAAATAATCCAATTAATTATTACGTCAATATCGGTCAACTTAATGCGTTAATTACCTATGGTATCGATCGCAACAGCCCTTAAAATCCAAATAACACATTTAGAAACTCATGCACTAGCTATTTTATTCATACGTAACCGATGGAGGCGTCTCGCTTCAACATTACAATCGTCGACCTTTCTAAGACCTATCTCAGCTTTAATAGAGACAAAGGCTAACACTGCTTTGGCTGAGCAATATCTTATATAAAAAAAAATGTAGATTTACACGCCCTGTCGTTCGCATAAAATGAATGGACACTTAATATAAATTTTAAGGCTGTCAGCACATTTGCTGTCTTCAAAACGGATGCCTGATTGTGAAGGACCCACACGCTAGGAGAACGAGTTGGCGCGCCTAAAATACAACCAATGTTAATTAGCCGAATAGGTAGGCCTGACTATGCTAGGTAGACGTCTCTCTGAAAACGAAATTTACGAAACACATGTTCTCGAACAGCAAATCATTGAGCTCGAATGCCACAAGGTTATTTTCTCGGTGTTCTAAGGAAAATCTCGACAAGATATGAACAAGTTTGGAAGTAAGAGGGCCTTTAGATTTCATTATTTCTTTACTAAGGGCAAATCCTCTTGACGTGTTCCCATTAAGAAATAGCTAGCATGAGGTCTGTATCAGAAACTTGATAGGCATCATCTGATACAAAAATCAATTTTAACATGAGCTAGCTTAAATACTCAATTGGTTATGATAGAAGTGGACACGAGAAATGTAAACATATCAATACGTAGCAGCACAATTAGTACATATTTAAATGAGTTGCAGGATAACTTCTAGATAACGAATTACTTTGCGTACCGCTGCTAAGTTACGTGCATATAAAACTTTTTGGGCGTTCGTCTTTAGCTTGTCTACAGTAAAATGAGTATATTTTTAAGTTAGCCGAACTGCGTACGCGCTAAAGATGAACCTTAATTGTTGTCCATCATGAACAGCCTATCGGACGTATTGGATGGCTTCGGTTTGATCGAAGGTAAAGATAAATTTTGGTACTTCATCAGAATCGTCATGGTGATGTCATCAGTTGAATCTGTCTGTACTTCTACAGATCTCTAATACGGCGCCAGGTTCAGCAGCTTCTGTCAGACTTAAGAGAAATCAGGCCAACAAGAATTAACTGTTCATGTTTCACCTGACCTTACTTCCACATGGTAACGCACCCCGGTATCATGGAATTCATGGAACTTTTACAATGCTTCCATATAAGGATTCTACCAGAGACTGGACGTGGAGTAACTGCACTATATCAAAGATAAGTTAAACGTGTTTCGTCAACGAAGGCTAAATATATACAGGAGCTGAAGAACACAAGTTGATAAAATCTGCGTCGTCGATAAGGTCGAGTGGTCGAAGCCGTTTGAGCAAAAGCAACCAATATAGACGACATGAAAATCGTCGAAGGGCATCGTCGTTTACATCATCTCTTTTCAAATGAGACTTCACTTTTAGTTATTATTGCCGTTTTAGCCAGCTAGCTATATCTGGACAAATGGATAATATTTTTTTATCCTGGGTATGATCTAACTGCTGGATTGCGTTGTGATGTTCCCAAAGTCTGGTGAAGACAACAAAACGAAAATTTGGTTAAATTTCTGTTATGGATAATCGCAAATTTTTATCACAGTCAGGCTGTGGTGAAGTGTAGGGCTATTTGCGTGTGCGGCTTAGGCATAGGAGCGTTTGCGAAGCACATCTACCGATTAGTGCCGAGCAGCACACTCTGATGCAGCCCGCTCTTACTTGAGGTTACCGTCTGCTTGCTTTGAAGATCTAACGTATGCGACGAATCATCCTAGCGTCAAACCTGAAAAGCTTGTTCTTTGCTTGCTGTCGTTCTCCGGCATTCTTCAGGTTAGTTACCTTCAGTACGGACTTGTGTCGACTTCCAATTAGCCCCTTTGACGACCTAGAGTCCGTACATTACGGATAGGTACGTCGGGCAACGGAAAACAGCATTTTTCAACACGTCTATTCATTTTTCACCAAAATAGAAAAAGCTACCATCTGGCCTTTGCGGCGAAGACCTTATAGCTGATGGCTTTCGAACTGTGCGCCCGGTACTGCCGTTAGACATTCTATCAGCTGTTGATAGCACTCAACAGCGGCTTGTTAAGTCTAAAACTAGTATCTTCAGCCTAAAAAACGCAGCCCGTTTGTCTTCAACGGTGGGTCGATACTGACGACGAAGATCAGATTCGAACAAAAGCGAATAAGATTTTGTATACCAAATCCAGTCCAGTGAATCGAAAGTTGCTATTATTATAGACTATAAAAAGGAATACTTCAGGTGCGATTTCGCGATTCGCGTAGCAAAAAGAGGTTTTAAAACTAATGAGTCCTTTTTGAGTCCCAAATCTTGAATCAACCAAATTATATTTTTCACCTTTCCTGGTCGCGGTCAAACATTTCGTACATACAGCTTAACAATAAAATATCATAAGATCGTATAAGTCTAGTTGAATTCATAAATTTTCATTTTTGAGAAGTTCCATTTTACGTTTCTATGTTACGTTTCTTAATGTTGTGTAATATAACGTACGGATATGAGAAATTTTTTTAAAGAAACCACAAAGGCCGCATGTTACAAACAGACGGCTCCTGAAAGGCACTACGTTTTTCCTAGTCATACTTTTGAAAGCGATTTGCAAGAGCGCTAACCGGCCCCTTGCAACGATGCACCCTGGGATGGAAGTATAAGGCGACAAAAAATTTTTACAAGCCTACCATAAAGTCTTTTTTGATAATATGAAATATGGCTTAGTCTGATGTCTAGCAAAATTCATTTGTCAGAAACTGTCTACCTCAAATATAGACGACTCAGCTATCAATTGAATACCGCGTTAATGCCGTTTAATAATTAATACCTCGTTTGTAGGAACTGCTATTGCGGAGCTTAGAAAGACAACATGGCATCTTTGACAAGGCCTCCTGTGGTCGTGGAAAACTTCAGAATTGATAATAGTTGAAAGGTGCGAATTCAGATGAATATGATGGGTGCATCAAAGATTCACCATGCAGCAGTGTAACGGTAACCCTAGTTACTACCGCTATGTATGCCCGAGCGTTGTCTTGCCGAACGATAAGTTTTTCCTTGTTAGAAAGTTCTGTTGCTTTTCAAATACTGTAGCTATCACGCTTTTTAGATGTGCAAACCTAACTTTCCCAGTATAAACTTCAGGATTTCATAGCAGTGTTTTTCATCGGTAAACTATTCATTTCTCAACCTTTTACACTTTCCCTACGAGTTGTAAATTATTACTTACGATGGAGTCTGGTATATTTTACCTTTCAGTTACAATAGCAGCGCTAATGGAAGTACCTTTTCGTTCTACCAGGCCGTTATCAAGCAAATAAAGTCATCCCGAGCGAAAAAGCGCCTTTGAAATCAGAATCAGTCGGCGCGACATGTCCAAAATTGTGTTCTGCGCCTCGTGTACAGCTGTGTGCTCACAGAGAGCAGTCGAATTTAAGCAAAAGTATTGGTTGATGTGCTTCTCAGTTTAAACTCGAAAGGGAAAATTACACAAACTGCTCACGAGAGAGACCCATTTAGAATGTTTACGGGTTGGTCCCAATAAACAAATGGGATCGTTGGTTAGTATAGCTTTAGTCCCGAAAGAGTCAATTACAACAACCCCTTTGGCATCACTAGAGCCTTACCGCTGCTGGTAACTGTAAAAAGCGGAATAACTTTGGGCGGAACTAAAAAACTTTCAACTAACTAAATAATCACTTACGTATTCAAAGGCAAGCTTAGTCTTCTGCCATAGGTGCTCTCGGTCCTCGGCATCCATCTTCAGGGCCACCACATTGGTCAGGTTGTTGTCTTTTTGGCTCGACATAAACAGTAATATATTGCACCGTTTACCCCATGTCAACTGAACATGCCTAGCTTTACTCGAATGCGTTTTGGGGTTTGTCATCACCCAACAAAGAACCCGTACCTTTTCGCTGAGATCATCACTATCTGAAAACAACAATAGCACAATCATTGTAAATAGTTAGCTAACTCATAATTAGTACACCACAATGTTGGCTTCATCCGTGTGTTTGTTTTTAGCAGACTAATTTATGCCAGCTGCCTCAACTGTGCTAAGGGAAAACCTCGGAAATTCATCCGCGTAGTACTATACACAAAAAGTAATACGCGAGTTACCAATAAAACTGAGCAAGAAACCCAAAGGGATTAAGAAGCAACAAGAAAATACACCAGCACGAATAGGGAAGCTTTGGTAGACGAACCCTTGTAGGTACAGCTTTTCACAATTCTTATTGTGATTATATATATATATACGGTTTACATTGGAATATTACTAGAGATATATCAAAAGGAAAATAATTTGAGAGCTTTACGATTGTGACTCTCAATTTCGTGTTAGTTCAGTTCTCTATCAAATTAATGTACCTCAGAGGACGTGTCCGTCACACTTCAACATCCTTTTAACCCTGGCCTTCGAAACTATCGTGATGGGTGCAACGTATAAAGGACACTAACTATACAAGTACATCGCACGTTACAGCTTGCTAGGTTATATTATTTAACCGATATTCGACCAAGCCAAATCAGTTTTCACTTGCAAACGTTTCACTTATAACACTTCATATATATAACACTTATGACATTGCTTCTTCTTATGTATTTTCAACACGGCCTCCTGTAGCTGATTTATCATTACATATTTACCGAAGAACTTAATAAATCTTGCTTATTAAATTAAATACTACACGTACAGGTTGTTATAGATCTAGATGGCCGAGCGCCCTATCAGGAGATAAGCTGGCCAGATCAACACATCATCTTCATTACCTCAATTTAATGAGACAGTAGCACTCGCAATTCAGTTTACAATAGGAGATCCGTGTTCTATGGTTATGCATGTTGTTGCTTACAAGTTTGTTTGTGATCGTGAAAATTCTGGGTTTTGACATCTTCGCCCGGCAGAAGTTCAGCATCTTCGTAATCGTCATGATGTGGCCCGTTCTGGTGCTGCAACATTGCCTGTTGCAGTTGTAAAAATCGTCCATACGAAATTGGTTGCATGGGTTTTTCCATAACCATGATAATAAACATTGCCATTGAAAAGCCGACCACCGTCCCTAAAACAAACAATAGCAATAATATTGGTGTCCTGGTACAAAGCTCACTTATATTTAGATGATATCAGATCGTTATTAGTAAAATAAGAATGCTTGTGTAATATAAAAACACATTAACAATTAAGTAAATCATATTTATTACAATTTCGACATGAAAAGTTAGCCCGTTTCATGTACGATTAAAACTTTCCTAGTCATGACGATGTGTCATGCTCAACTCGCAGATAAATGATGAATTTGTGTTTTTTTAACAGGACGTTCTTGCATTATTTGTAAAGTACAACCTCACTGATACAGAGCTCGTCAATGCGTAGATCTGGGGCTATCCAACTGTATTAGGCGTTTCAGGCTCTACAAATTAGTAGGATCGATGAGCGGATCCTAACCAATGAACAAATCTGCCGATATCGGTGAAGATTTTTCCCGAGTGTTATCCTCATATATCCCGAAATATGTAGAAATTATTGCCTGCGGTACTCACAGTCAGTGGGGAACTGCAGAAAAGGTCATTTGTGTCTATAGTGACATATGTGAATTCGATGTTAATAAAGAACGCCCACACCTCAAATAGCCTGGACGCAATATAGAAGGCAGCCGCCCGGCATTCGATCCGGTGTCGTTACGCGTCCCCGACATGCTTTTGGGTGGGGGACTTTTCGGGTAAGAGCGGCTTGAGCGAAAGCACATACGAAGTTAGACTGAGAATACAAATGAGGGAAAGGATCGATAATATAGCTAGGAGGATATAAGCAATACAAAAAGCCTGTGGAACCGTAGTTTACAATTTCTTAAAAAAAAAAAGGCATTATTTTGAGTCGAAAGCAATGTTGCGGATATCGAACAAAACTAATAAAGTTACTAGACAGTTACCAAAAGGTAGAAGGTAACAACAGAGTGGGAAAAAAATATTTTCATTAAAGTTGACCAGCAAATATATACGCAAAAATTTGTTTCCCATAGTGTGTTATATATTAGTTGTTCCTTGGCAGACTCTCGGCTTGAACTACCTTATACCTTTCTGGCTCTGAAATCTTTTGAACACTACCGCTCGAAACCATTAGGTACGCACGCTCAGCCTCGCAGCCTTCATGTGTCCCTCAGGCGTAGTTGATTAGCTTCTCCGTTTATCTATTCATATACTTATTTAATTCGGCTTAGGTAGACTCGCTGACTTTATGATAGAGTTTGATACAGGGCAACAATAAAGAAGGCAGAAGCTAACATCTATAGCACTGTATTGTAAAATAGGTAGTCATGCGATTATCGTCACAAAAATGCTATGTTTAATAAGCAATTGACAATAGAACGATATCAATAGGAAGAAATGCAGCAGACGTAAAAACAAATAACAACACTAATTTTAAATGTAAGATAGTTGATATTTGTGCGATGATGTGTACAGACTATGTTTGTAAAGGATCAAAGCAATCAGCTGAATTCTGAGTAGCGCTCATGCTACAGACGCGAGACCGTTTTGTACAGAATGGTAAATAGATACGTTCTTCAGTATCGTTCTATATGGAAATCAAAGGTGATTAAAAAGGCTTGCCATATAATCAACATATCGGGGTCATTCCAATTTGCAATTGTAAACAACGTGAAAAAAAGACAAGACTTACCTATAATAAAGCTTGGTAGCGTGCCCCGTATCGGGGGTCTCCAACGTGAATAGGCAACATCCTTAATTTGTATCATCTTCTGAAAGATCAGTAAAGGTTCGTTAGCTGTTTTTCGATTGAAAAGACTATAATAAAAAAAGAAGGTACCTATTGCCTTGTGTTGGCTGTATTGGAAAATTGTAAATTAACTGACATGCGCAGTCCTAGTAAACAAGGCCTACATTGACGTTTTAACGGTTTCAGCAAGTATGGCCTGCAGGACTGATTCTGGCCTCGGGAAAGGAAGATCAATCGAAGGGTGACCCCGAGTTATTAGTAGAAGACGTCATTCATTCTTTTTGAATTGGTACAGATATTATGTATAAAATGGTAAAAGACAGTTTTTAGGTTCCATATGGAGAAGGCACTTCGCATAAGGTGCGTATAAAGATTATAATTGGGACAATAGTGTTTAATACCTTATACATTTTCTGGATTCAAATAAAAAATGAGGCATTAAATAACGCCTGTGCCCTATACCATTTGACGCTTTGCAGAGAACTTCTTGTAGAAACAAGCTTCATTTAGATAGTATTGGTGGTTAAATAGGGACAATTACACAACAACTTACTATAGGCATATTGGCAAATTGTATCTATCCTTGTTATTGTATATGCAAGATCGCTACAAAATTTCGTCCTGTTTTGTGCTACTTATTCATCTCAAAAAAAAATCTCAAAAAAAAAAAGTCAAAAACGTCATATCTGCTAGAATAAACATACAACTTACAAGGTAAATATTGTCTGAGGCTATTCAGTGCGCTTAAGCTGGGCATGCCGGTCATGGATTTATTTAACCAAATAACTTACCGCATTTTCCACCAAGGCCTTTTTCTTTTTTTTTTTTATCTAGAAGATATTTGACGGCAATATAGGCTTTTCATGAAAAACGTTATTGGACTTTTTAGTCAGAAATGTGATAACAAGTTCGGCATATATCAAGCGCTTGTGAAGAATTCGAGTGTCAATATGTTGGGATACAATGTACTTATAGTTCCTGCAGAAACAGGGGTCAGCCAAGAAGACACCATTAAAATAACAAAGCCAGTACTGGGAAATTATCTACCTGCATATGGCCTATGTGATAATATTTAGGACTTTGCCGTAAAGGCTAGCGGGCGGAAGCACAACCAATATACATATCATTCTTCTCTTATTTTCAGCGCTACATGTAACTCGTCCATTTAAACAGATCTTCATCTTGTTGTTGCGATAAGCTCGTGCAGATAGCGCTTGACTAAGGTTGACGCTACACATTTAATACACGATATAAAATCATGTAAATATACCACGGCCGAAACGGAGCAAACTGGTCCAAATTCGCTGTCAGAGTTCAGGAGTATCCAGAGTCAGGAGATTCTGTTCTCGGGCAGCCTCGGTTGAAAGGCACTTGTGACTGTTAAACTACAATTAACAGTCAAAGACAGTTCAAGCTGATAACATGCGATTAATCCGAGTATTGAATTTTAATCAAAACAAATATAGCTTCAGCAAGTAGTTACCGTTCGATATGAACTTTCAGCTGCGCCATTCCTCCATGCTATTATAGTCCGCAGGAGTGACTGCATTGGCTTCAAGCGGATTGACCATGTTTAAAATCAGACTGATCGCCTCCTCCAGATCTCAGCTGCTCTTCGTCTATATATTCCAAAAACATTTGTAGTTTGAGCTGACTATCAGCCGATGATTCATTAAAGTGTATCTGTAGAGTCGAGCCTGAAGCCAGGTGAAATCGGCGTGCGAACAGGCCAAATAAATAGACCTTACCCGCGAGATGGGCTGATACAATCTCATGAAACAGTATTTATTCTTTTAGCGAACCCTTAGTGATGCTTTATCGTTCGCCGATTACTAGCAGAACGTAGCGAAATTTACTTGAATTTCCAATTGCCACCAATTGCAAATTTGCTAATGTTTTGTTGGAAAATTTTAGGACAAGTTACCAGCTCAAGATACACCAACTGTAGTGAACTAAAGCTGTGACTATCATTACAGTATTGTCCTGCATGCATTTTCGCTGGAAAGGTCCTAAATGATTATTATTAGAGAGCTGATTCTAGCTGGTATTGTTTGAGTAGACTCGATAAGTACGACAGTGCCGGTTTGGCCTATGTCAACTAGAGAGGAAAGAAAGGAATATGATAGCCTGTCCCCTGATGTGCCTGCCTTGAATACATGTTCTTAAGTTTTTTTGGCATCAATCATCATATGAAAAGGCGATAAAGTTTTGACTCACAAATTGTCGTTATGACTATTCGAGAGCCTCAACATAGGACAATATTCCTAAAAGTGTGTGTTATTTGTACTATGCAGATTATGGTTTGGTTCTAGGCAAGCAAGATGAGCCATTGGTCAATGTTTAAAGGAAACGGTTATGAGTGCGAAAGTATCGTTTATTGCCCCAGCGGTCGTCCAAGGAGGTAAAAAGATAAGCGGTAATGCTTTTTGTAATTTCTTGGTGCATATGGGTTTTGTCAGCAGATGCCCGCTGGTTAGACGTTGCTGCATCATGATATTATAATATATAATGACGAGCACAAGTCATTGGTCAACTAACAATAACTAAATTTTACTGAGGCCCAACTCTGATTGTCCTGATTATACGTTCCGCCGTGGCGGACAACCACACAGCGACTGTCAATGCTAAAGTGGTAATTTCTGTACCTCGAGGCCACGCTCGCGAATGACTTTAGCATGCACAGGACACAGGCCCAACAATATTCCTCTAGCGATAAAAGTCATTGTCGGTCTAATACATGTCACGCTGAAAGACTGCAATTTTTTCGCATTCTGGAATTATTTCACTTTGGTTCAACAGTAAAGAAATAATGGTATTGGTATTACACCACTTGCCAATTCTAAACCACATGGACGGACGGGAAACAAACTGGCAAGCCCGTCGTAAATATTAACAAACGCCCACAAGGGGAGAAACACAAATGTGTTTAAATGTCATATCTAATGCCGATTAAATATTGAGCTCCTGTTTACTCATGCTATGGATGATCGGGTTCTGTTTATGTCACCTCAGGGACGTTTCTTGTGTTAAACTCGCATCCTTCAAGTAGAGATTGGGCTATTTGGCCGCTTATTTTTCTATCAAATATAATATAACGTAGGTACCGGAATGGTCGGGGCATGCTTCAATACAGAGGTAATAACGTATCTCTATAATAATCGGAAAGACGTTAAATGAAGATACGGCAGTTTTATATTTGTTACGCTTCAAACTTTTGTCTTAAACGATTTTGTCATAAACATCATCAACTCTACTTGACGACGCTTTCTTTGGAGGCGATTAAAATACAACTTACCAAGAAATCACTGCTTCTCACATTACTCTAAGGCCCTATAAAAAGAGATAGGGTAGAAATTAAGTTTCAGGACAATACCGAAACGTGAAATAAGTTATTATTAGTATTATTAAAAGAAAGCTGGGGAATCTCAGTCTTATTTTCTGAGCGCTAATGAGAGTTTATAAACGGTAGCGTATAGCAAATTTGTATCCCGGTTTACCCATCTCAATCATGTGGCCATTTTTAACAGGAAGGCAAACACATTAACAAATACATTACAATCACATAGTAAGCATCATTTATTACCATTCAGATGATTATCGATCCGTTTGATAAATAAAATTCTATAATCACAGTAGCTTAGGTCGAAATCTTTTGGAAGGATCATTCGGTTCTAGAAATGACTTAGACAACAGGGTGCCGAAATGTAAACAAGCTTCATTGTTTCTCTTGAAAGTATCAGAAGGCTCAAGGAACCACTAGAAGCTATCTCTCTGATACTCAAATGTTTCGTGCTTTACATTATCTAATATAGAGATATATACTATAAAAGTTCCTTTGGACGGCTAGCTGTTAGTATGAACGAAGTGTGCCTCCGTCGAATACGAAACATAAATTCACGCCGCTTAAGTTGATAATCACAAACCAAAATTAATCAAATTCAAGTTACGCCTAAGTAACCAAGTCTCGTCCACTTTAGTAACAGCCCACTGAAAAATGTGCATTTAATACACAGTTTAAAAACATTATACGCGCACAATATCTAGCCAGAACAACGGTTAAAGGCGTTAGTGGTACGATTACCCGCTTTTTCTAGCTACAACTAAGACAACGCGAGTCTTTATCTGATTACACATTGTTATTATGGGCAAATTGCTTCCAGAGGAGACCTCATAGTTACGCATGAGTGAAGTTCAGAAAGCGTACTAAGAATCCGGCGTCTTCAACTGTATACAGTCGGTGATCTCACACGGAACCTTCAGACGTTTACGTTCATAAAGGCTTAAATTCGTTTCTTTCATATGGGTTCATTTATCCACCTAGCTTCCGCTCAAGCAAGCTTGGTTTGATTTGACCAGAACCTCTCACACCGGCCTCGATGAAAAACCCTGCTTACTTTTTCGTCAAGAATAAGTTGCAATCGAAATTTGGTTATAGTACGTTTGGATTAGTGAAATTCAAATTATGTCCTCTACATGTTTACTCGGCAATTTACATGAGTACCTGATTTCTTCCTCATTGTGTATGGCCCAAAGGTTCTCAAAATCTCCGAAATGATCTGCAAGGAAATATTACAAAGACCATGCGAAGGGCACAGATACGGAGCTGAATGATTTTTGCGTTATACAAACGAGACGATTAATGGGCATTTTTCCAATTGAAGGAACGTAGTTATATCATAGCAATGTTTTTTGAGTCTTGAGCACACGCTACGTTTTATTGGCGGCAGAAAACAAATGAAATCAACGGGGCAAGGAGCACGGCAACAAGGTGATTGCTTACCGTTCTAGCGAGCCGAGCCCTCCATCATGAATTGCTAAAAACAAAAAACATTGATTATGAGTTTTTCATAGTTAATTAATTAAAATGGACTCAGAGAGATGGTATCAGACGGATACTTCCTTTTTGTAGATTTAATTAATTCAAGTGAAGAAGTATTGATAGCGAATTAGCTTTACCGCTTATAGAACCGTTTTATGGAAACTCTTTCAAAATATATAAACACTCACTTGGATCACAAAGTAGCGTTGCCGTACATGGGGTTGCCAATAATGGCAATATGGCTTCAATAAGGGCACTGCGTACTGCCCCGTATTTTTGTTTAAGTATACTTCGATTACTAGAGCAACATCTAATTAACTAGCACTCTTGCTCCTAGTCCAACTACGTTTATTAAAGTCGTCGATTTGTTGCCCTCCACGCGTGTATAATTTTCGAGTGGAAATGTATAGGGTCAGCTAATTTCCGGCGCTGGCTCATTTGAATCTCAGTTTATAGTAGTGATCGTAAAACGGCCAATAACAAACCTGAGATATTTTTGAAGCTAGTTCCGTACCTGCCGAGCTGGCTTCGTATAACGCGATCGTAGTTGCTCAACGATAGCAAGCTGACTAATGTTGCTGCCTAACATGTAAAGTATTCTGAAAGTCAATGTAAGCAAATTTTCCAGTGTCAGCGTTTCGGCTGTTGAAAACCTGTTGTGCTACACATAAATACCATAACATATTAAGTGCCCGTACAAAATACGAGCTCGACACGTTACACAGAGGTCTAAACCAGCACGGACCGCTGCCGATTGACGCCCAGCTCTCCAGTAAACGTCCCCATTATTGTAAAACTTATTTATGCATTTTACTTACGTTTCCTCTACCAGTTGTAGCAATACAACCAAATAATAAGCGGTTCAAAAACAAACTCTCTATCCATCACTTATCCATCCTTTTTTCATCGTTGTACTGGTAGTTAATAGACAATTCCTCTACGATAAAAAAATGTTGACTTGAATTTCCACTTGTTCTCAACACATGACAGCTATCCGCGCGCGACAATCAGCCCAACACCCCACGTCTGACTAGTCACTCGAAGCTAGTCCTATATATTTTTGGTAATCACGTTCGTTTGGAAACGGGCTTGTACCTATAGAAAGGTGCCTCGTCGGGTCAGCTATAGTGCATGTCCTATGCAAACGTGAAAGTAAGGAGGTGGCTCTGTAAGGCAGCAGGAGATTATCGTTCGACGCGTTCAAAACAACGCCTTCTTTGCAGAACGACACTTAGAACAGCGTAAATTCTTTGATTGCTATTCCGTCCGCCGTCGTTATTCTGTTGTTGTCCAGCAGGAGCGGAACTGCTTTAAGCCGTCGTCCGGGTATAGGTTAGCATTGGTATTTGCTGCTACCACGCCAAACACTCGCCACCTTTAGTTGGCTACCGACAAGCGTACAACGATGTTACAGAAGGCGTATCTGTATTATCTTACAGCCTAGCGGCCTAATTTTACAGCTGGTCGACGTTCGTCCAGTTCAATGACTAAAGGTTGCTATCAACAAACCGTCAATTCAGTGTCTTGCCTCTGGTTTGAGTCATCGGTAATAAAAAATGGCATTGTTGCCGATGGTTAGGTGTGTTCGTGTTAAATTACCGCCTTGTCCAAACAAAGAAATCGGCATGATTTTGTGTGTTGTTTGTCGTAGGAAAAACGCAGGGAGGTGAAGTTTACGATGTACTAACTGTTATTAAAAGTTAACAACAACAAAACGATTTCAGGTTCGCACTTTAGCGTGGAAACGCATGATTGAAGCATGCGAATGTTACTTTACAGGTAAGGCTATCCATCTATAATTAGAAGTCGTTTTCATACGCACAAAATAGGAAACTTCCCCTATATAATGAGTGCTAATATATCAGGATGAAAAAAGGCTATAAAGGATAGCGCTAGTTGTAGTCAACGCGAAGCTGTACCAGCGCCACGGGCAGGTGCAGGCTGATCTGCTCAACCCCCGGGGCGGGGGATCTTGTCACTCTTGTTGACTGTGAGTCATGTACACGACAGGTTTTAGAGACGTGCGGAGGCAACCCTTGTCACAGATATAAGCGCTCCTTTATGGTACTACAGGTGAATATCATAACGGTATAAGTGCGAGCGACAGACAGTTAATGGACCACCACATATATTTACATTTTTAGTTTCTTGTTACACGTATTTAGAAAAAGACAGGCAGATCTTTTCGTTCTGTAGGAAATACTCTTGCTTGCCAAACTGAAACAATTATAGCTAACTCTTAGAAGCGCTTAACTGAAATCAGACAGATTGATGACCTTCACGAAGATCAACCACAAACGCCGAAAAAGTGGCACCGGTGGATGTGTGTATGTGTGTGTGAGTGTTTTGATGACGTATTTTGTTCTTTCGTTGAGATAAGCTGAATCCCGAATATTCATTCGAAATTGAACTATGTTTGTAGCGCAATGATAATGGAGGAAGCTTAGAATCCGGCCTGAGTTGTGAGCTTCCAAGGCTGAAGTTCGGTGTTCAACCGCTTGCGTATCAAGGATCCATTTAGTGATCAGTTATTATGTACGGCATGTTTAGACATTTCTTGCATATAACTGATTGGTAGTTTTAATATCTCTTCAAGGGATCTCATGAAGTAGGCCTGTATTGTCCTATAGCTCAAAAACGAAGTAATCGACTCGAATTCAACATATGTGTATATAAGTTTATATATATATAAGACCATATATATGTATGTGGTTTATGTTGTAGCTGGTGTAAACGATAACGGGTCAATATGAGGGATTAGCGTACCTAAACAACATTGACATTTTCGATATGAAGCAGTGGTAAAGAAGGCAATTTCAATATCAGAAATACTAGTTAGTCTTTTTGAAGCTGTCAGATTGAATAATGTGAACTGGTTTGTTTGCTTTATTATAAAGCAAATTTGCCCGACACAGATGGGACGCCATTGAACACGTCCACTGTTCGGAGTGAGCGATACCAAATAAAAGTATGTTTTTTTATATACAGCCAACTTCTATTTGACTGTTGAAATAACACTCACTGCGCTCGGCTATTAGAGTATCTAACTTATTCTGTTACAGTCGCTTATCAACGCCCAAACCGTTTTCGAGTAGAAAAGAACCAACTTAGCCTTTGAAACGAGATTCACCAAAGCTCCTTACGTAAGCGTATTTATTAAAGTTTACTAGGAGTACCTTTTAGCACACTCGAATAAGAGGATACGACGCTGAGATGATCCTTTGGCTAACAAGATGAATATATCTTAAGCAAAAAAAAGAAACAAATATCGAGTTCCGAAAATTAGAGGGAAGACAATAGGGACCAGGAAGATTCTGGCAAGTGGTTGACAAAATCAGCTCAGCCTTGTTGCAATATTGTTATATTGCGATTTTTTACGTAGTCCAGGACCACTTAGTTCCAGGACATAGCTGTGCGTGTAGATATGTATTTACGTTACTTTCTAAATGCTGATATAATTTCGCTGCAAGAAAGAACAGAATGAATCATGTGACTGGGCAAACGAAATAGGTCAACTGTTCCCATATTCTTAAGACGCGATACCTAAAAGCATCCTCCACAACTGGTTGACTTAATGCTGGCGTCCTTTGTGCTATATCCTATTACCAAACTACCTCCTTTTGGTATTCTCTAGTAGTATTCTAGAAGATTCAGCAGGGTTCCGATAAAGCTGATCCGAATGTAGCGCGACATTGGTTCTAGACGTTTTGGGTCAACAAGTTTCTCTTTAGATTCTTATAAGAATTAGGTTTTATGGAACCATTTTGAAAAGAAATTTTTACCCAGGATTAGAAACGAATACTTAAGTTAAGCAGGCTGATTGCATGCATGCATGATAGGATCGTATCGCGCCCCTTCTAACGTATCGGCTCTTCTTGTATTTGCTAGAAACACTTGTTTTAGTGAATTTATACATAATAGCTACTACACACTACGGCAATAAGCTGTTATTCAGATACAGCTACACAAAGATAACGGTACGCGTACGTTTATCTAACTTACGTTTTCCATGTGGTTCAGGGGAGTGCAGGCTTGCTAGAGAACGTCCCTAATCAATGCAGTACGTGGACCAGATTCATTCGCATGTATTGATACGAGTAACAGCTCTCCAACGTCGTATCGAATACTTAGAAATGCACATGCACACACATACGCACCATGGTGCTCCTTACAGATATCTCAGTCCGCGTGGTGATTTACAGGCCCATGGCTATTCATCGACCGTAATGGTAAATTATCGATTTCTTGTTCATCCCAAAGCCAGCAATTGTATTCAATTCAAATATAACAGGGCTGTCCAGTATTTAGAAAAGCCCTGTACACGGTCAAAGCCACCTACACGTATCGGATCTAAGGTACTTTTTTGAATTGCTCTTACGAGTTCTATCAAATTACCCAGCATCGCTTAAAAAATGAGCGGCTTTAAATGGCTTAAGGGGACCCTGCTTTCATTCTGTGAGCAGAATTCGATTCGTTGACAAAGTCGTGATCGAACGAAAATCATAAAAAAAGGACAAACACTTCCATCAAATAGATAGCGTTAAATTTTAGACCCTCGATCCCATACCAGCTACATCGACGGACTGTCGTACTACAGAATAAATAGAATTAGAGACGAAATAGTACTACTAATGGAAACAAACCTGTAGCTTGTCAAAGGTATTTATTTCTTACGGCTTTCAAATGCGACCATTTTGAATGGTAGTTGCTTCAAAAAGTCTAAAGACCACAGTTAAATCGAGCCATCAGTACCTGGTAAAGTGTGCGTACATGACCCATATTGACATCAATAGCTAAATAGCGATTTTTCGAACAAAAGAATCGACAGTTGAGAAATTTCCTTACTTTAATAGATACAAATAAAGCGCAGCTGATACAGTAGCGTTAGCAATACAGCTTCGCCTATTCATTTCATTAGAACAATGCTTCTCTGTGTATTTGTAGTATAAAGCACGCTTACCGTTGCTGGTTGATTCGATCACTTATCATATTTAAGCTGATTAAAGATACGAATTTTTTAAAATTTAAGGGCAAAATTCTTCATAAGCTACGACTAGTCTGAGCATAAATCTGTGACGCTTCGACCTTTTTATTCGTTAAGAGCACTAGCCAGTGTTACGGTAAACGTCGATAATCGTAGGTCATATACTTGAACATTACTACCATCATCAATATTTTTTTACCGGTGGCAAAAAAATTGGCGCACATTTTTGAACTTGGCGATATTTTCTCAGGCTACCTAAAAAGCAGCTCGAATTTGAACAAACAGAAAGCGATATCACATATTTCATATTTTACACATAAAAATTTAACATCGTCTGGAAATTTAGTCTTCTCAAAGCTGACCCTTGGCTTGGAACGCTTCCTGTATGTTTCTCTAGTAACAAACTCTCCACCTCCAGTCATTGATTCGTTTGTCTATCCATTCCTGTGAAACCTTAGAGTGGATACCTACACTCGAACAAGACACATATGCCAAACTAACTTCCTATAACATTTTTGCTACTGCCTAAGCCATTGCTGAGTTAAAATGTAAAAGCCTTTTAGATGAACGTCGATACAACCGTCACTTAGTCGGCTATGAGACAGAGACTGAATTTCCGACTCAGAAAACCGCTAATTCAAGCCATCCGTCATACACATGCCATTCCAATAATAAATTAGTTCTTACATGATATCATTGCTTTTATTCACGTAGAGAGTTTCAGCTTGGATATCTACGCCCTTACTTGCTGCTCTGAAGTGCCGAACGTGCACTACTTCGAAAAATAAAAAGCTAAATTTATGCTAAAATGCCAGATTTTATAACCCTGCTCATTATAAAGGAATAGCATGTTAATCTAGAAGATACACTGCTTAATGCATGCCTTATTTTTTATCACAGGACTGCCTGCCTACACTCCCATTAGAAAAATAGTGGCTAGCTGAGACGTGTCTTCGATAACTTTGAAAGGCCACTCTAAGTCATTCCAACTATTTGCAGACTAAAGGCAGCGGTTGCGTCAGAGAACACGCAGGTGCGAGCCGTTGGAGAAATTTTTATTGGATTACTAAGTAGATACACGTCGTCTTGCTGGAAGCTCCTAGTGGTCTACCCTCAAGAGCATGTCACATGTCAGTTCATCGAGGCTAGAGAGAGCCTTAATGCGTTCGCTGAGAATGTTTTTCCACAATCGACAATAAACCCATGTATAGGACCTGTCTCACAGTCCATGCTACTATACGGAAACATGCCCTATTTTGAGAACGGATCATAGGTAGGCTACACTTTGACACCTTCCATATGCTTGATAGCGTTGGACACTAAAGATGGGAGAAACCTCAACATCTGCCGACTCTGTCATACCAGCAAATATAGTTTTATCAATTCGATCTGTTTTTCAGAGCTACCTTCAGCATGATTTATTCCCTTATGAAAATCCTAAATATACCAACTTCTACTGCACTCAAGAGTGAGCTGTGACGTTTACGTTCCGAATTAATTATATAGCCAAATTAGGTTATTAATTCACGATGAAACGATAAAGCCGTACTAAGCCCTACTCGATAGTTATAGCGCCAATGATTGACACGGCCCCAACCAAGTAGTCCTTTGCAGAAAGGCCAAAAAGATGCAGAAAGGAAGCGCTTATAAAATAAGTTCTAGTTAAAGTTTTTACTTGTTGAGTATATTCGCTAGAATCTACCAAGCGATCATAGTACACGCCCAGAGACTTTTTCATATGCCAGTTTCTTTGTTGTCTTTCTCCGTGTCATGTTTCGATAAGTTTTGTCATACACGACCCAGGGCAGAAGATGCGTTGTCTACATCATGTCTCTGCCTTCGGTTATATCAATCGAGTTGATGTCCTGCAGGAAATACTCTGATTCAACGGGAATTTGCGGGTTTCCGGTGCTTAGTACTGCCATTTCGTGTAATGAAGTGAAACCGGATGACTACACAAAACACGAACGATGCCGAGTATTGCTGCGTTGAGGATTCAGCATAAAGCAACGAAGAAAGGCTTTCTTAGTTAGATTGTATATTGGCGTAGGGCCACAGGGCTCGTTCGTGGGTACTGTCGCCTGGCCCGTAATGTGAGAATTATAGAAGAAGCTCTTCGGAACATTCTGCTACAATGATCTCTTTTCGTATCGCCATGATTTGCGAAATCATTTTTGTCACAACAAGATCGATACTGATTTTTATAGACGCATAAGAATGATTATGAGCACTTCATTCTGTCAGCACTTATTATGTATTATCCAGCTTAAATTGAAATCCATTAATGAGCGATGCTGTTTTTTTTTAATTTACATTAGCAGCGCTCCGACAACTGAGGACATGCACCAATTTTTCCATGGAATTTTGCACGTACAACTAAGATAGAAAACAGGTAAGAGGTGTCCGAAGTTATGTGCTCTGTTTGCACACAAAGAGAAATAACTGTAATCTTGATTAGGAATTGCCGTGAGAGTGCCCCGAAAGAAATCGTGCAGACCAAGAAGAAGCCTCGGTCCACTTAGCGATAGAGTATCATTGCTCGGCTACACAACAAACGCTATACGTCCAACCTAAGGGACTGCTTGTTGCGGCCTGCAGGAACCAATAAAACACAGATCTTAGATAACTTAAGCAGAGCATCTGCACTTCATGACTACTCTGAAAAATTACGGTACCCGTTACTTTTTCCTATTTATTTAATCATACATCTCGTGTAGTATATGTCTGTGGCGGGGCCTAAACCGACGACTTTAACCAGAGGTTTAGGCGCCTAAGCTGTCTAAGCTTCATCATCCAAGCGCAAGGGAGCAATGAATACCTGGGGTGTATCGAAATTGATGCTACATGTAAAGCGACAAATAAATACACGTTATTTCTCGCTGCGTAATATTCGGTACCGCGATACCCAAAGAGTGGAGGAAAAAACACTGATACCTTTAAAGCAAAGTGCACTCATTGAGGCCGATTGAGTATCGATTATCTACTAAGACTACTAAATATTACTTCCTCAGCTGTAAATAAAAGTTAATTAGCCGGCGTCGTCCACTTCTATTCTAAAAAATATGAAACTAGACCACATGAGGCGGTCCTGCCTGATGTTCCCTGGTTATAAAGGACTGGTCTTCAATCAAATACGTAGATCTGTAGCTTTCTATATCGAAAATATTATAAGGCGAATGAACGTTAGCGGCAGCTTTTCCAGGATCAACATTGTAAACAGAAGGCATTCACAAAATACGGCCGTAGCGCTTGTGGTCTTCATGTATTTTACCAATCCTCTAAGCGATGTGCGAAAGTTTTCCGTCCAACATTTTGTTTATATAGATGCCGGTAAGGCATGCATGAGGAAAATGGCTGTAAAATTCATCAAGATTGTAACAGGTATTAAGTAGTTAAATGATCAAAAGAGAGTAAGCTGTAGCTATCGATCTTAAAATTCGACACCCGAAATGCAAAACTCAAAAGTAGAATGTATACTAGAGGACGCACAACTCACTAAGCCGTACGACGTGTAGGACAACTATGGGAGCACGTTTCCTGAGTCGTTCGGTGTCCTAAAAGACGTTCTTATTATAGTGAAGATCACCGTATGGGAACGTAAAATGATCAACGTCAGATGTAGTAGTATTGCCGATGTACACCGCAGTTATTTAGCATAGCTTGTATAAAATTTCTGTGAGAATATTTTAATCGCGAATCTGATTTGGTACAAATAGGAAAAAAGGCTAAACTAAAGATCGCTGCCCATATGAGATAGTAAACTATCTGTATATGTGACGAGTTAACAGAAATTAACAAAAATAGTATATAGCTTTAATGATATTCAATAAGTATGTGCTAATATAAATAATCAAACCCTTATATCATCACATCGTCCTTTTTTCCGTGACAATGAAAAAACAGTTCAGGTCGTTCGTAGGCAATACTAAAGCGTATTATTTTTATTAAAACCTAGCTATTTTCTACGCATCCCCATAGTTTTCTGTTATCTTAGCCAATCCGCCTCCGCCAATCAAAGCTTTTAGAGCTCAAGTCGAACGAAACAATGAACATCTCAAAGATAATTTGGCTCGTCTTCGTAATTTGAAGTCTAAAGGAATTCATTCTAGTGGTTATAACATAGTTAGTGTTTGCTTATAGGCTATATTGTACCTTTCGAATTGTCTCGTACTGTTTGTAATTTAAATCACTTTTACTTTGAATACAGTTAGAATTAAAATCTGGTTCGTTATTACTTTGTTGTGTATCCTTTGTTTATCCTAGAAACTATCTAAAGGCTCCCTCCCTAGCAAAACGAAAACACATTCACATCAACACTAAGATGAGTTCTGCCATTTTAAAGCGGATTACGTAGTTATCGGTATAAGCGTATTTCTTTTTTTTATTGGGTTATCGTTAAATCGGGTTAAAATGTCGGCGATGCCTGCTTTTTTTTTGCAGGCAAACATTGACCGCCCTATATCTGTCACTTATATGACGAAAATAAACTCTGGAATCTAGCATCAAATCCCGTGAACCATGTGCTACGGATTTCACAAAGCTATGACC